ATCCTGCGGAGAGTGTGAGTAAATGTGGTGGTGCGCGCTGTATCCGCGACGTAGTGAATGACTTCTACCTTCCTCTCCTAGCGGTCGTCCCGCTCCGTCTCAGCTCGAATCTGCTTAAGAACTACCGAGCAGCGCTCGGAAGTTCTTTCCACTTGGGCTTTCGCCGCAGAAGTCCAGGAAGCCAGGACCTCGTCGGCGATCGCGAGCCGGCCGGAGGGATTGTCTAGCGACGGGAGGCGAGTGTCGCCTTCCACTCTGTCGAGGGTGGCATAAGGCCAAGAGCTCGAGGGTACAAGGGAGATTGTTACCTCCCGGCCAAGGTGCCACAGTTCTAGAGTAGCTCTTCTGTTAGTGACTACTCACCACGACGGCGGCGAACTATGCGGCGCCGGAACCTTGTCAGCAACCATTCGTTCCAGTTGCAAAGTTATATACTTCCGCTGAATCTTGGATCCGTAAGTAGATCTCCTCTGCTTGTTCTCGCAGATAAGTCTCTGGATGATAGGGCGCGCCTTCGAATGACCCCGAAGAGATTAGCAAGGTCCATGGTAGAGGAAGAATAATCACTTACCATCTGCATGGTTTTGCGGATCCCTCATCCGCATGGTTCTGCGGATCTCTCATTCGCATGGTTCTGCGGATCTCTCATCCGCACTCCGCCGTAGGACCTTGGCGTTAAGTGATTTAGCCCCTCAATCAGGTCCCCTCGAACAGGTAGTGTGCTTTCCCCTCGATCTATCCGCCGGACGGCAAGGCCGACCAATATTACTGCCCCAATATCTGCCACTGTCCACGTGACTCCGAATTGATGTGTCACGACGAGCTCTCGATGAAGGAGGGGGCGGCCGTCGTCCCGTGGGGGAGGGCTGACGCTCTCGACGACCGGGCAGCGAGGGGGGAGCGGGGGGGAGGGGGGGGACGATTCTTCGTCTCGATGGCGAGCTAAGATCGAGTTGTAGCCCACCGCTGACCACGAAAACGTTAGCAAGGTCACTCGGCGAACTTGATTCACGGACATGGTTGAAGACTACTTACCACAACTTGACGGTTCGGTCGAAACTGCGACCATCTACGACGGCCCCTAGCAGCTCGTCGAGCTGTTGATTGCCTCTGCTAAGTACCTAGAGAAGGAAAGGTGCTGTTATGATGGACGGCCAAGGCCGCTGAAGTATGACAAGGTGTAAGGGGAGGATGTATGTTGAGAGTCTGACAAGGTGGAAAAAGTAGGATGCGTGTTGAGAAGAGAAGTTTGGAAATTGTCCTCGGCTGGTGGGCCTTATATAGTTTTTTGGCAGTCCGATTTGATCAGTACCTAGTCACCTAGCTGCTTAGGAGGGTTAGTCAAAAATTACGTGTCAAGTGATGAGTCAAACTCTCTCCGGAAGCTTAAAGCTGATCATACCTCTATGGATAACAAACTCTCGTAAACCTTGCATCGGCCGCGCTATCCTGTTGATGTATAGGCAGACGAGGCCGTTTTGATTACTATGTACACGTAGGTACGTTTGTCTGGCACTTGGCTCGTGCTAGAGGGTTATTGCAACATTGACTACTAGGTAGGTACGCATGGGTACGTTCGCCCGCCGCGTCATTTATTATATAAAGTTCGACGTTATATATCGAGTATAGGCAAAGGCGTATGGTGATGTGGCAGTATCGGCCAGGCTATTCTAACTCAAATGACCATGGTTCGCAACCGTGAGTAGGTAGTCGTAGTAAGTACTCGAGCTTTTTCTAGCTATGGCAGCGCGCACGTGGACACCCAGTCAGCCGCTCGGGGAGGACATGCGGGAAGGCGATGGGTGTGGAGAGACCTGTCGAGTGGTCTCGGAGTGTTTAGACTTAACTTATGACCACTGATCACCCGCGGCGAGCTGGGCGTAACTCGCCTCGAAGCGTAGCTGCCCCTCTCCTCGCAGCCTCTCCGTCGAACGCTTCGTTTGCGAACGGCGCGACGAACCAAGAGTCCTCTGTCGGTGTAGACGCAAATAATGAGCGTCATACTTGTTGTATCAGAAGGTTGAGTCTAGGAGTAGGTAGAGCTTCTCGGATTCTCAAGGAAGCATCTTCTTCAGAACAAGCTCGGACGTCGCCGAGTAATTTTTGACGCATCTCCTCAAGCTCGGCCTCTCGAGCTTGGAAGCTCTAAATACTAGGTAGGTACTATAGGCACCTACCTAGGCAGTAGGACCTATAAGTTGGTTTAATTATGGTGGATTAGTGGTTAAATTATAAAGCGCTTAGTGGATAATTACAGCGCGCTCCCACCAAATTTAGGGCTTTTCCAACTTCTACGACCATTGTACAGGTCTTAAAAAGATGACTAATAACCGCTAAAGATATGTTGTAGTCATATCAGCCACGTGAATGAAATCACGGGACCCATACAGCTTACAAACTCAAGAATATGCCGGACCCCTCCCACGCTAGAACCCCAACAACTTAATCCCCGACAGGCTATTGAATTGAATCAATTGTTTCTCACCCAAAACCTGTTCAATCAATAAAAACATGTATCGCTTAATAGCTAATTGAGTCAGCTATGTAAGGCCGTATTTGCATCTATTGTAATCCAACTTTGATTGAGCTAGTTCAATGGAGAGTTGAGTCTTTGTCGGTGCGTTGGTTTCGGGGCCTCCGGGGAAACTGTGCATTTATAAAGGCTCAAGGCCAGATTGATCTCGGAGAAATTGATTGAGTACTTAATTTTGTATGAATATTAGGTACCTAGTATAGGAACATGTACTGCTCGAACGGAATACAGCAACGCTGCTTTATATTTACATATTTTCCGATTTTTCAGTTTACTCGGAAACGTCCTATACAACTTGTGAGATAAAGAAAATAATAGAAAGTCAGAAATATACATCACTATGAAGTTCTCAATTTCGTCAGAGAATGAGGTTTAAAATTAAACACTTTGGGATAGCTCTGCCCAATCTCCTTTGTATAGCCAGTTTCTACCCTAAATTGTCGGCTTCACACATATCCTACAAGAACTAAACTAGTTTCATTCGGTTTGGCTTTCGTAGGTCTATCGATATATGTGAGATGACTATTTTTGTCGTATTAATTGATTGTGTGATAACAGTTTCAATGCGGGGGCATAGAGGTACAGTAGGGTCGTTCTAATTGAAACTTCAGTAGTACATCCAATCCCATTGCGATTTGAGTGCGGGGAGAAGTATCAAAAACTTTTGGCGGGGTACAGCGCGGGGTACAGAGCGGGGGAAGAATTCGTATCTCATTCGGCGCGGCCAGCATTACCACATGTAGGAATCTAAGATTGGTCATATATACGTTGTTAAAGTGAACAATGTTGGATGCAGTGAGCCCATTTTGCTTGCTCACATGTAGACCCGGGACAGCAGCTGAATTGGTGCTCACCAATAGTATATATACATCCATAGCTACGGCTACTGCTATGACGATCGCTGACTGATGTGTCAGGAAATTCTAGGTATGTGAAAGAAGCTCTCCACTGCTTCGCTAGCTAGTACCTTGCGGCAAAGTGTGATATCTCCACCATGGATGTCACTTATCCAAGTGACTACGACATGATGACCCATATCCTAGGGGCTATGTGTGTGCCGTCTCCGGATCTTGACTTGCTCCTCTCAGCTTCACCTCTGATATGAGAGCAATAATATGCATTTCTCCATCCTCCATCCCTTCCAGGGCAGGGATCCCATCTCTCCCATCCGCCCCTGCGAGGTAGATCCTGATGCCGCCTGTGATCAAAGTTATTGCCGTTTAGTTAACTGAGGTATCGGAATGTTAGCCAGCGGTCTCCGCATCGGTGCAGCCCGCAGTAGACGATGACTTACAACGGTGGCAGTGGATAACTTGAACTCCCGGCAATCCCATCGCCGTGTTATGTTGTTATACGACTGTCTCTCGTGGATATTACTTGCCTCGCGTCCATCGATAAGAAAATAAATATTCCTACTAAAGTAATAGTGGCACCGACCGCATGGTTCTTATAGCTCCAATCGTACTCTCTGGTAGCGAGGGAGCGCTCGTATATCACGCCAATATTGGCATCTTCCATACACGGGAAACGCCTGAATGAAGCCAGCGTCCTCTTCTGAATCAAGATGGATGATTATTGCTTTATATCAAAGTCGTGCTGCTTGCAAGCACCTTCAGAAAATAGGTTGTCTTGGTGAAGATTAGAACTGCGTGAACTTGCGCGGGAGATACGCGGTTTTAGCTACGCCCTATACGCCGGTATGGTGAGCAAATGAAAAAAAGTAAAATCAAGACGGCCATGACTGGAGCTGGAAGTTTGTCAAGTTCTTGATCGTTGTAGTTGATCGCTCTTGTCTGTCTAGGTACCTACCTATTTTATCCCACCAGTACGGTACGGGGGAGGGTTAATAGTCTTTATGCAGTATCTGCTTTTCATGTTGAGCTTATTTATATATATTTCATTTCATAGGAGTCTCGTGAATCGCATTCGAGCTTAATGGACAGAGCAGTGGGATACATATCGTATATGGGCTATCTTATATGGGGAATTTTATATGGGGTATGTGACAGAGACTGGACTGAGAACGTTCTAGACCATGCCGATATGTAAATCATCGCAGATAAATTGTCCCGTAGGGATCGTGGTTGACAGAGCGTGTTGAGATAGCGAGTGGCCGGGAGCTCATTTCCCGTATGCTAGGGACATCCATCGTCTGTACGGTCTACGAACCTGCATGCTTCTAGCAACTTGACCTCCTAATATAACGACTATGGTATCCATAGCATACGTATACTTCGAGGGACTAGCACTGCACGGTTTGCAGATAGCTACGTAGTACATAGTACATAGGACATAGTACACAGTCCATCGTCCATCGTTCATAGCCTAGAGTACACAGTATTCCGGATATCATCTCTAGGCTTCATGGTTAGGCACCTAGCTCATGTCGAATCTATCTGTCTATATGTTGTAGATGTCACACGGGCACAGGCGCCAAGAACCTGCGGGTAGGATGTCAGGGTCAGCTATGCAGTTAGCAAGTGCAGTTAGCAAGTATACGTCGGAAGCTCAATCAACATCCTAGGTCGACCACAGCTAACGGTTGAGTCCTTAGGCTTTCATCATGGCAGGGGTGCGGCTCTGTCATCGGCGCTTTGATATCTGCTGGTCGGGATGGCCATGCACTCGCCCAAGGTTCACTATGTCTAATATATCTGACAAGAGCGCTTGGCGCTATCAAGGTTGCCGCGCGACGAAACCGCAGCTCAACGCGACGCGCTTCACTTACGCCTCTTCCTGTCACACGAATGGGATGGAGTTAGTGACCTCGTCTCTTGGCTCGTCGCTCAATACCGACCAGCCGTCGAGGAGGGATGCAACATAAGCATCGAGTATATTATCACCAACCTCTTAATCCCGAGATTCTGGGATAATGATCGCGGCGGTGAGTCTGTTCTTTTCTTTTTTCTTTTTCTTTGGCCGATCTCCTTCCAATCTTCGTATCTTCACAATTGGCACTAACTCGAAATATCCGCAGCCGATCCGACGCAATGGAAATTGTAGGACATATCTAGGTTGTCGATAAGGTTTTCTAATATTGAGGTTATATAAGAACCTCTTAGCCCCAACGATGAGGAGGACCAGTGGGGCGCGGATGAGAGCCCCGGAGTGACGAGAGCCTTGCGTGCTATCTTGGTATCTGCGTTCCCTCTGACGCGGTCGCACAGCCGTCTGGTGCCCGACGAGCTTGTTCCACGCTACAGTGTGAACAACCCGTCGATTAAGCAGCTGGGGGGTTGACCGTACTCATGAGACGCTAACAGGTTCTTGCTAGGCTGCTCGCTCCATAACACAGAGGAGCACAGCCTCGAGTTTCCCGACCTGTCGGACAACCAGTTCTCGAACAGACTGGTGTCCGCGATCGACGGAAACGTCCAGTATAAGTACAAGCGTGGCCGCCTCGTTGATATGCGAGACGCGGCCGGGGGTAAGGAGGCCCCAAATATCGTCGTGCAGGGCCCTAGCTTCATGCACGGGTCTTTTCTGCAGGGGCATGTGATGGAGGACCTGCTAATTCCAACTTGGAAGCAGCAGAACTTGCCTGAGATCGTTGCCAAGTATATGCAATCCGGGACGCTCCACTACGGTGTGAGCGGTTATCCCCTGATGCGGGAGTTTGGTCGTCAAATCCCGGCCGAGAAGATCGAAGCTTTTGACGTCTGGGCCCGGGGTGCGAGGTCAACTCGGAATAGACACTCGCACCTCCACCCTCATCAATGTGCGGGACAACCATGACTTCTATGATAGAGAGCGAGAAGGGGGTCAGTTTCTCTTAGAATTGGCAACTAGAACGGTGTATCAGGTACGATGAGTTCGAACCACACTGGCCTTCTCATCGAAATGGCAAATTAAAAGGTGAAAATTTTCCTCGTCTTATAAAGGAGACCCCGGGCGCGGATAAAAAATTATTCTCATCTCCTCTCAACCTGATACAATCACTAACGTGGCGAAGCATACGGCATCAATTCCGATGCATCATCAGATGTCAATTTCTGCCCAGGCAACACGCCGGTTTCATTAGGAACGCCTACAAGGTAAATTTAACAGGGGATCGACATCTGTACGTTAGAAGAGCGATTTTAGATGTAGAATTGTCGTCAATGTCAAGTGTTGAGGGCGATCTAGGAGGTTGCAGGGGCAAAGTGATGTCCCAGACCAGGATGGGAAGGATATCGTATGGTGGTCCTGCATGTTCCCACACCCGGCATGGTTAGTTTGAGCGTCGTTTGCGATGTAGAGAGTGACAGCGTGTTTATGACGGTTAAGGACTGTCCAGGACTCTTGATAAGTTACAACGAAGGCATGTATATATGATATCACGATGGCACTCAACTGGATATAAGAGAATGAAGGTGTTGCGCGAGGAGCTCTAAACTAATTGTACAATAGGTATACAAACTTCCCATGTTGATCCTCATCAATGCTGCAACAAGGAAAGCATATAAAACTATTGCATTCTTTCGACGTACTCCTATCCTCTCTTCTGATAAGAAGAATATCCTCCCGCCATTCATCCGTTTCCGCTCCGGACTTCTTATATTGGTCGGACCGACCATTTAGAATAGGTTGCCAGCGACCTCCGGGTCGTAGATTGCCCAGTAGTGGCCCCCTGTAGAGGGTACGCAAGGCCTGTCGGCGCTTCGGATCGACCCCCTGGAGCATCTGGGGGAATATGTTGATCCCTGTGGCACCTGCGAGAAGGCATCGAACTAGTTCCATTAATTAGGTCGGCTTTTAGCTCAAGGTCGGGTAAAGCTTGGATGACTTGTGCTATACGGTCAGTAGGGTGAAAAATCCCTGGGCATACCAGGTCCCGGGGAGAGGGCTATCTGCCCTGATGTTCGGGCTTTGTTCGATTGTGCGAGTTACTGCTTGTCTCGATGGCTGTGAGGGTACTAACGCGTAGTGACACACCCTGAACTGCCTCGCACTGATCCCGTCCTTGGAATCCTTAAATTTGCCCAGGGTATTAGGTGTTGAGAATGAATGTTTCGGGGACCACCAACCTCCAAGATGGCGGTGGGTTGCCTTCGTTGGAATAGCAAATTCAACGTGTGTACTTCTATTCTAGAAGTATCCAGGAGATGGTGCATATATATGAAGCTGTTGAATTAGTATATCGGTAATCGGAAGGAACTAATGTGTCGTGTGGTTGTTGTCTTGGTGTTCAGAGGGTGAGAAAGGTTCCAAGTTTGATCTGTTGATGATTAGAAGATGATAATCGACAAGAAGAAGTTTTTCTGGGAGAGATGATATTGTACGAGTTGTGGGAGGGGTTTATATGCAACGTAGAGCCTACACCTTCCCGCCGCTCGGTGCAAGAGCCCGAAGGAGCCAGTCATCGCAGTGGGGTGCGTCGAGTGGGCCCTGAATCATCCAGCGAACTTTCCTTCGAATCTAATGCACGAGCAATGCATGATACGTCCGATATGACGCTATTCTGGCTGACTATTCCTGTCTTATAGATCCATGGATGATTTGGGGACTGGGCACGACCGGCTCTATCTTTGATATCGTTGGGACGTGACTGAATACATCACTAGCTCTCAGTTGACTTTGTGCGTCGTGTGCACGCCCAGTAACTATCACATATGGCGCATCACCACCTTCTTTAGCTCTCCATGGCAGGAATGGCCCTCCAGTGAAATGTCCAGTGAAACGTCCAATGCCTATTTCAGTTGTCCAGGACCTTCTGTAAGACCAAAACTCGCTATCAGCATTGTACGTCAACCATGAACGCATCGTGACGTTTCTATTCATCGCCTGATGGACCGTTGGTCGTGGGGTTCCAGGCTCTACGTCAGCGTCATTGATATTTTAGATCCCAATTGTTCCCCTACATTATTTAGAAACAGGTAGGTACCATTATATCCTCATTACTATATTTGCACAACTATACCTAGGTAACTATGCGATCCTACGCGCATATACACGCGACTATCAAATTAGACGCGACGGGCACAAGGAGGCCTATCCTGTACCTGGGAGGGGTCCATTACATTTATACCTAGGGAATAAATACTCTGACGCCCGCTCAGTACTTCTGAGCGGGCGCCAACAAGCTAAAAATGTGGCTATTCCAGGTCGTGGTCTCCATATAGTAGCTCATAAGACAGGTGCGGAAAATCTATACCATGACCTCGTACCTAGAACTACTACCTAGTAATTTAGGGGTGATAACTACCGTAATGAAGTAAATATCCTTTAAACTTAGGGAATTAAGTGCTGTACGGCAGCTACATTAGTAAAGCTAAAAAGCCTTCTTAGATATTTAAAGGCACACGAGCATGATGAATCATAGTATTCATGGGCACTTCACGTTTTAGTCATTGCATTGGAGGATATTGGTTATAGAGCAAGTTGTTTATTCATGGCAAGATCTGCCGGTCCGCGGGACACATCAAGTATAGCGCAACCATCGTTTCTCCCGTACCTCACTTCTGGTTCCCTTTACCTCGACCTGAGCGGTCGGCCACGCGTCTATGAGGGTGAGAGGGTCGATGGGGCGGATTGAGGAGAGAATTTCGAGGGGGGGCGAATCTCGGCTCGTGCAGGACTGCTTCTTGAACGGGCGGTCTCGCCGTGCCTACAATAGTCCTTCCGAGATAAGTAGTTCCGGCCTGAGAGCCGGAAGCCCGTCGTTCCGGCGTTCGGGAACGAGAGGCTCCTTCGTCGCCCCGATCGCGGTCGCGCTGGCGATAAACGTTGGGGATGCGATCGCTGGCATTGGAGATGCGACGATCGTCCGGGACGTCGCCCTGCGTGGGGCGGGTGAACACACGATACTCGCGGCCGCTGCTCGCGCGGCGGAGCTCTTATCCGGGACTTAGCTAATCCCGTGGTGGCGGGGAAGACTCGCGAGATCTCGGCAGGCCTCGCGCGGGGCTCTCTCTTCTGGCGCTACGCGGCTCGGAAGCGGAGGGGCTAGATGGGGGGCCGGGTGACTCTTGGGGTTCGGGCGCGAGCAAGTCACCGTAAACCCTCTCGACCAAGGCTCGGCTAGGCACCCAAGGTATCTCAGGGGCGGCGAACTTCCGGCCGGGATCGTAGCTAGAGCACCTGCCGTAGTAGAGGACGTAGCTGGCTCCAGGCTGCCCTAGATTGCCCAGGTACGCGGACGGGAGGTCTTCAGGTGTCGTGATGGCTTGGCCGTCGAGCGTGTACGTTCGGACCGTATCCTTCGCCTTCCCATTCGACAAGCAGACTATGGCTATCAAGCTGTAGTGCGTCAAGAACGAGCCGCTCGTCGTCATGGTGCCGGGTCTCTGTCCGAGACGGGCCATGTCGACGACGATCCTGCGGAGATCTTTATACGTCTTTGGATCGTTCTTGTCGACGTCGTAGCGAACCCGCAGCACCTCGGGGAGCGGGCGGTTGGATTGCAGGATGACCTCGTGGTCGTCGGTCTGGTCGTGGAAGCGGTCGAACCTGGCCGATATGATTCGGCCGAGATCCCCCGTGGAGTAGTGGGTGAGGCTGTGCTCGGCGAGCTCGCTCGGATTCTCCTCGACGCAGGGTTCCCACTCTGCGCTGCTGCTGTCGCGCACCTCCTGCTCTACGGCGAAGAGGAGGAAAGGGGCACGCTTCCATAGGGTCCGGTGCATGAGACGATGCTCCGAGAGGGCGGAGAAGGTCAGGTCCTTTCTCCGCAACTTCTCGCCTCCCTGGAAGGCCTTCAGGGCTAGATATCCAGCGGCGATGACGTCTCCTTCGCTGGCCTTTCGGAAGTTGCACATGGCCAGGTGAAGAAGCGGGTTCTCCTGCTCCTGCTGAGCGATCTCAGGGTCGGAGGAGGAGTCCCGATATTTCTCGGCAACGTGGCTGATGAGGCGGCGGATGACGATAATCAAAGCTTCTAGGCCGCTAGAATCGACCTTCTCATCATGCGGGATGGCTGATGAGGCCACGGGATTATACGTCGGGGGAAATTGGATCTGGAGCAAGCGGTCTTGCGCCAACTTGTCTCCGGCGAAGACGACTCGAAGATCGCTTAGCTTCTCCATCGCGTTTCCCTCGGTTGCGTTCTTCTTCTCTGATGTCATGGCGGCTGGTTGAGATGCTAGTCGCGGTGGTGGCAGCAGACGAGAAGATGTAGGTTGAAGAAGTTGGAATTGAGGAAGTTGGAATTGAGGAAGTTGGAAAAGTTCAAGAGGGGGTTTAAGAATTTGGAAAAATTTAAATAAGACGTGAGTGCACAAGGAAGGGAAGGAACTACGATCATATATCAATGTGGGTCTAGGCACGGCGCTATTCCTACAGGGCAAGAGGTGCTAAGAACCGCCATAAATATAGGGGGCTTCGGCGTATATTCCCGCTATAGTGTCGTGAATGGATCACAGGGCTATGTACTTATAAAGTCCACTAGGAACCGACCTCCCACGCCGCGCTCTAGATAGCTCGTTGCGACCGTCGTCTACAATTATGCGACATTACAAACATGATCACTCAACTTTCCTGACACCTGCTAACTTTATGGCTGTAACCTGTTAAATCAACATGAGTCAAGATAAATCATGCTTGGAGTTTATTGTCAAAGGAGCGCATCAAATCTTGTGCGTATGGTCATCTCTGAGCAGGATTGGGCTAATATATTTCTCTCAAGTTTATAGCCTAGAAGTATCCGAGGTAGCTTCGCATCGCGTTTACGACCCGGAACGGACGCCCATAGCTCGCCTACGCTGGAGTTAACTATCCTAAACTATAGTATATTGCGCCTCCATCACGCTATGATGGCTTCTGCTCGAGGTGGGTAATCTTCCAGCATGAAATTCAGTACCGATCTACCATAGATGGTTCGAGCGAACGATAGCTATGCCAGGGATTCTACGAAAAAAGAGAGTCGACGGTGGATTAGATGAGGTCACACAGTTAATATACTAGAACGCGTTCAAAATTGCTTATCAGGTTTCCATTTTCCATTTGAGCTTCAAGTCTCCCAACCGTGCGTATCCGCCTTCCCTATAGTACGTACGTCATGTTCTCAATGATCCAGAGGAAATCTCGCTCTCGCAGGTCTTCGAAGACGACGTCCAGGCCGTCACCCCTAGATCTTATCCTGTATCTGGTAGGCCAAGAGCACCAACCTCCCAAGTCGCTTCTCACTAGACGAGCTGTTCGATCGGCAGCGGAGAGGAGCATGGTGGCGTTTAGAGGGTCGGGTAGCTTCGCCAAGCACAGTCCATACCCTGGAAAGTACCGGGCCTCTGCCCTGTAAGCACTTAGGTCAGTTTCTTCCCCGTTGTCTTGGATAACGGTCCATCTGGCGACCAATCGATCTCCATCCTCGAGGATTTCGGCTAGCCGCGCCATACGCGTACCGCAGCGAGTGACGAGAGCCGCGGCGCAAGCTTCAACGGGCCTTACCCTGTCGGCGTCAGGGTTAGACAGTCATCCACGCATCGACTTGATGGCCTGCAGAAGCGCGGCGGAAGACAGCTCCAGTCCCTCGCTCGCGGTTGCTGTGGCGGCCCTGTCGAGGAAACGGTCGAATACCACCAGAACGACCTGAAGAGGAATGCTCCCCGCGGTCGCCAGCGTCTGGGTAAGCAGGCGCAACAGCCGAAGAGGACGCTTTGTCTCCATAGAAGAACCTTATAGGCGAGCCAGCATCCCGAGCAATCCGGTTGCCGCCTCCACGTCGCCGTTGAAGTTGTCATCCAAGGAGCCGGCTCCCCAGGGCAGCAGCAACGTCCAAGGAAACGCGGGACGAACCCCCTGGACCCAGAGGACGTCGCGGACGGTCTGGGAGAAGAAGCTCCAGGAGGGGAGAGCTCGGTGGATGGAGTCTCGGGAGCGCTTATACGAGCAGCCAGGCGTGGTATGAGCTGTACAGATGATGTTATAGTGGTCACTCTACAGGCTTATACTCATGGAATAATAGAAGCAGGTACTGAAAGAAGATATCGTTTATGTGCGAGCTTTAAGTTGATATTATAGCATTCGATCGGTTACTACCTTATTCCCTTGCTCCTACTTCATTCACAACTCTGTAGATGCGGAAACCGTACTTTTTTTTACCATCACTAGAAGGTTATTAGCGTTGGGAGCCTCTGTGTCATGATTCGACAAACCTTTGGAATAGCGCTCACATCTATGCTTGCTGAGTTGATGTTAAAGCTCACTGAGATCATTGTACGTAAGATGTACTTAATGGTCCTAATTCCCCTCCTGCGCTTCCGGCTCGCCTCCGATGATTCGGAAGACGAGGGATCTTTCACTGCCTACCGATTCGTGGAGTTCGACCTGGTAGCATTTCTCCATATTGTGCTCCAAGAAGATCCCGTTGCTTGGGATCGGAGACCGGTCGAAGGCGTGGCCATATTCTACTAGCTTCTGAAGAAGTACGACTGGGTAGGATCGGCCAACTAGAAGAAATCCCAAAGAAGCTGACGTCTGCGGGCGTCTTCCCAAATTCTCAGAATTAGTAATTTCGTTATCATGTGCTGGATGCGTATGTTGCATCCCGCTTTGGCGGTTGGTCTGTATTTAGCGACGAACCAACAGATTGTGTCCACGGCTGGTTGCCAGTCGCGTGACGGGAGACGTCTCTGGAGCGCGTCGCGCTTGGACTGAAAATTCGTCATGGGCGCATGCGAGGGCGTCGAGATGAAATCTCTGCCCGTCGTTCTCTGCTCTCAAGTCTTCATGCTCCAAGACAGATCCGCCTTGGGCTTTTTCGAGGTCTCGGATGGCAGTCTTGATCACCTCAGGAGCCTTCTCCTCTACCGAAGCGATGCGGCCTTCATCATATTCACCATGCTCATACGGGGTGGCGGAAATACTCTCGCCAGACATATCAGACATATCGAATTTGGCTAGGCGTAATTAGTACAACTTAATCGGGTCGGTCGCGGAGAAATGTGCGTGTTAACGAGTGACGATCTAAAACAAACGAAGAACGAAATAATTATAGTTGTATTTGTGCAAATTCACACGTGAATGATCTATCGCTATATCACGCCTACTACGTCATCCACTATAGCCATATGACTGGAATATGTTATTTCTGTTAGCTTTAGATGACTCATCTACCGCTACGGCACCCATGTTATTCACACAATCCCTCCTAGTGAATTCACGTCCTAATTCCTTCCCTTTTCATCAGGCTTTTTCGGAATCGAGACTGCACAAACACAAACTGACAAGCCGCAGATCAACAAACATGAGTTCCAACAGAAAACGTGATCGCGATGGGCAGCTTAGCTCTAAGAAGCCTAGGGGAGAAAAGCCCGGGGAAGAGAAGCCTGGAAGAGAGAAGCTGAATGTGCCTGCGCCGGCTGCTCTACATAGCCAGCCTAGCCAACTCGCCAGTTCTGCCAGATGTGGCGGCCTAACCGTCGACCAAGAACGCGGCCAGCGAGATGCTGCCGCACAGGGCAACCCCTTTACGGAGGGTACGAAACCGACGCTACCGATCAACCCATTTTCGCCGCGGGAGCCGCTGTCTTCTAAGCTTACTAGTTATCCTTGGGCAGAGGTTGGGAGACCGCCTGCGCTGAGCAACCCTTTTGCGGGAACTGCGAAACCGCCTCCTGGTAACCCTTTTGTAGAGGGTACCAGACCGGAGCCGCCAAGCAACCCTTTTGCCAAGCCGCCGCCTTCCCAGCCGAACAACCCTTTCGCAGAGGTTCCAAGACCGCAGTTTTACGAGCAGAGAGCCCCATTCGAGAAATCCGGCTTGTTTCCGCCGCCGGTCGACCCCGAAAAATGCGCCCTCCCCAAGATCGACTCCGACCGGAATGAGCCTGAACGGTCTCAGGGGGAGCTGAGACGGCAGAAGAAGCTGAGAATGCGCCTTCAGATGGAGAAGGTCTCGGTAGCCGCAGATATGGCGTTAAAGGCGATGAAACGCGTCGAGCACGAGATCGATCAAGAAAGCGGCGACGATTCTGCATCTCCGCGACCCGCCAACCCGTCTCCGTCCGGCTTCGAGGAGCTCGTGCAGGTTGTGATTTGCGGGAACTGTGGAAAGCCGAACCATAAGCTGCATATATGTCCAGGGCCGGTCGAAGCCGACGGTTGCGTGGCGGGCTGCCCGCTCCATAACACCAAGGAGCACAGCCTCGACGATTGCCGTCCAAGTTGGGATGTTCCGGAGGAGACAGTATTTAGAATACTGATCTCGCGCCGGGCCGGTCTTCCTCCGTTGAGAACGAGCCTAAGCTGGCCGCAGCTTGCTGTTGCGAACGCTGAGAAAGGGTTGCGTGCCATCCCGGTGGCTGCGTTCCCTTTGACGCGTTCGTTCAGCTGTCTGGTGCCTGACGAGCTTATTCAACGCTACAGCGTGAATAACCCGTCGGTAAAGCAACTGGGGGTCGATCCCCGCACGCACACGTACGCGGATCTGATCGAGAATATCGAGCCCTGGGTGGTGAGCGAGAGAGAAAAGCCGGTCAAGGAGGGAGAGTCAGAGAACGAGGAGCATTAGGCTCTGTCTCATAGAGTGAAAGGGGGACTGGGGAGGACGTGGGGACAATGAGTTCGGGACTTTGTGTGCTTTGTGCTTTATAATATGCTTTAATGGAGTTTGGCTTGGTTTCCTTGTTCGAATCCCCTCGCTATCCCTTGATGAGATATATGGACTCTATGGGTCGATGTGAAGTGCAAACTATCGCTAATGTTAGCTTCTATGCTTTTGACGTTGTTTTGAATGCCCTTCAGTAGTTTCCCTTCGTCGCAGCCTACTCACGGTGGTTCTACAATAGGTGGTAGAATGTAAGTCGACGTATCTAGCCCCATAGGAAGGCGGTGACGATGCCAGGATGATATATCAAAGTAGTGGTAGGCAAAGACGCATCATATGAGCTGTAAATCGTGACCTCATCATCACTGTAGCCCGAGACATACCTAATGATTATCTCGAACGGGCAGATGGCGGGGTTGCCCATATAAATGTACAAGCGCACTTCGTATTAGTATGTATTAGTATGTGGTTTTGGCTGATCCGCCCGTTAAATTGGCAATGTACAGAAGGACTAAAATTATTTCGCCCATAGTTTTATACTTATTTGCGATAGATCCGTCTATGATATAGAATCGTAGTAAGACGGCGCAGTCCCGGCAGGTACGCTTTTTTAATCGCGTACATCTCTCGATATTCGTCATCTAATCCGCACAGGAAGACTGCATTAGGTATCGTTCTGAGGCTGTTTTCGATTTAATATAAGGGGCATAGGAAGGGGGTTTTCACGTCGAGTGAATAAGGGATAAAGTAGCAGCTCTCTGCGCGCCTACTAAGTCGAAACAAACTTGACAAACCTACGCGCCCCTAAAACTGCGTACAGTTTTGGCTAAGTCCTTTTCCCATCAGGTTCGATGGCTACTGGAATGCTCGCTGGAACGATGTGCCCGCAGTTGGCGTGGATGGGGAAGCAATCGTATCACGCAATAGACTTCGTCCTTACCTCACACGATCTACGATGATGATTATGGTCACTAAGCCATGTGTTCGTAATCGGACTTCTTCGATTTACTGGTAATTACAACCATTCCATTCTTTCCTCCCACGCCTACTCACACCTATTCCTTCCGAGCCGATTATCGATTATCTGCGACATTATCGCGCGTCGGTCTAAGAGACGGGAAACCTCGAGGCACCTACGGTTCGGATTTGACAGCAGAGTTCCCACTAGGCGATCCGGAAACGAGATCAGCGAACTGTCGGTCTATCGCCTCGCTCATCTCGTTCCTCTTGAGTACTTTGATGCGGTACTCGCGCGGCACTCTGGGGCTCGCGAGCGCGCCGTAGTAAAGGAGGTAGCTGGCACCGGGCTCCCCTAGCAACTCCTTGTGCGTAGGCGGGAACTCTGCCGGCATGGAGATGACCTCCCCACCGTGCGCGTATGTGCGAACGGTATCCTTCTCCTTCCCATCTCGCGACAAGCGAACTTCCGCTATCAGACCGTAATGGGTCAAGCACGATCCCTTCTCCGCGAGCTCGTACCCTTGGGAGCCCTTCGTCATGTGTCTCATGTCCACGGTGATCGCTTGGAGATCGTGCATGGTCTTGGGTTCGCTCTTGTCCACGGTATAGTGGACGCGCAGCACGGACGGCATGTTCGAGGCCATCCAGCGCAGCATGCCGGGGTTGAAACGTCTCTCGACGGCCTCCGAGAGATTCCCCGTCTTGAATCGGACGAGAGAGCGAGCCGCGAGGCGTGCGAGCTCCTCCGGTTCCCCCGAGTAGTCATAAAAGTCCCACTCGTACTGGTCACCCATGCGGAAGAGGAACGTGGGTTGGTAGAGGAGGAAGCGTTCGCGGCTCCAGAACGTCTTCAGCATAAGCTGATGTTCTGAGAGGGCCATAAACGTCAGTTTATGAGCCTTCAGCTTCTCGCCGCCGTAGAACGCCTTTAAGGCGTGGTACCCCGCGACTCCCAGGTTTGTCTGGCTCTCATTGTCGAAGTGCGACATGGCCAAGCGGAGAAGCGGGTTAGCTTGCTCCTGCTGCGCGATCTCGGGGATAGAGGGGTCCGAATACTCCCCGCTTATGTGGCTGACGAGGCGGCGGATCACGACGATCAGGGCGTCCAGGCCGCTAGAGTTGACCCGCTCGTCCTCAGGGATGGCGGGGACGAGCGTGGGCGAATACATCGGAGGAAACTGTAACTCGAGCGCGCGGCTCCGTTGCAGTTCGTTTCCCGCAAACACGACTCTGAGGTCGCTGACCTTCTCCGTCTCCTCTCTCTTCACTGATGCCATCGTGGTCGGTTGAAGAGATGACGAATTTCAAGAATGTGTGATGCGATCTAGTCAGGATATAACATGAGCATAAGTGGTGACGAGAGCGGATGATTCCACATCAATACGTACCTTCTCTAATCTACTCAAATGAAATAAGTTGTTATATTTGTCTAGGTTTCTAAATCTCGGAGCAGTCAGAACAAATTCTATAGGAGGTACCTATGATATAGTACATATGCCTCATGGTGCAAGTAGCACCTTCCTACAAGATCTACGGCATATGTACCCCGCTACGCTACTGCTCCCCACACTGCGGGCCCTGCATGTCCCTGCAACACGTGGGCGTTGGATACTAGGATAAGGGGCAACTGGGGATCGTAAACTCTAAAAATAAACCCTGTGAGATCCATGGATGGAATCTACTTGCTAGGAAGGTACGAGTCGCACCGCGAGGGGCATATTGGAACAGGTTTCAATCTTCTATCTTCAATGCAAGCTTCAAAAATACTTGAACGTTCTATCCCCTTTAATAGTGATCTCCGTGTCGGATCGAAATTTTATGATTTAACTCGGTACCACGGTACGTACTACCTACTCGTTCAGCAAAATACCGGGCAGCGACGAATGACGTACATGTATCCAATATCATTTTTAACATTTTACGACTAATGACTCCAATGCCCTTCTGATTAAACTAAGCAACCTCGCCAAGTAGATAACTGTAACTGCATATGTAAAACACTGATATGTACTACGGCATCTTGGCGGGAACGTCGCTAGGAGGGATTCCGGCGAATGGTAGGAAGAATGGTCAGCGCTTAGGTAGATGGCATTCATAAGTAGTACGATAGTCCACAAGTAATACGATTGTTCACGGTAGATAGCAGGTCTTCGAATTACAAAAGCCAGAATGTTCTTTCCATTCCACATTATAGACCCGAAAGACCCCATAAACGCCCGGAACTACACGCCAAAAAAAAAAGAAATCCCTTTTTGAAAAAGGGGGGGAAACCCCAAGCTCGTTTCCGAGTCGGTCGCATGATATATCTGCTTGCTATAGCACAGCAGCGTGACGTATCTCTTGACGAGCGTAGCTTAGGGTGATTGGGGAGGACAAGATCCTAACTACTATAGGGACCCCTTCTCAAAGAGTAACGGGAAATCGGGATGGTCGTTCATCGTCATATCCCCGTCTGCGTCGGCTTAGAGCTCGGCCTTTACCTCGGTCTCTTCGCCTGCTTCCATGGCCACATCGCTGGGCGCCTTCTCGCTCTCCAGTAGAGAGTCAAGGTTCTCCCGCACATTGATGATGGTGGAGGTGCGAACGTCTATCCCCAGTTGACCTTGCGCCGGGGCCCAGACGTCAAAGGCCTCGATCTTCTCGGCCGGGATTTGAAGACTAAACCCCCGCGTCAGGGGAAAGCCGACCACGCCGAAGTGGATTTTATATTTGGCGAAAATCTCAGGCCAGCTATACTTGGTCCGTAAGGGAGGGACGTTGGCTCGACTCAGGACTAGCGCCCTGTAGAGCTCCGCCTCATCCTCGCCCTCGAAGCAAGAATCGAAGGAATGCTCCTTCGTATTGTGGCGCGGGCAGCCGGAGATGAAGCCGTCGGCGTCCACGGGCCCGGGACACTGCGACAGCTCGTGACCGGGCTTTTGGCAGTTCCCGCAAGTCTTTCGCTCCCCCAGGTAGCCCAGGGACAAGGCCCGGAGCTCTGCTGCAGTTCGGCGGGGAGGCGCGTTCAGCGAGGAATTTGCGAAGTCCAGGTTGGGACCGGGTGACGAGGGCCCAGGAACTTCGCGCGTCTCCGCGCCCTCCATAGGCACGTCCTCGGCATTGCCGCTGGTACGGGCGCCTTTGGGCTTTCTGCGACGGCGAGGGTTTCTCCTCTTCCTCTGCGGTCGAGGGAGCGTGGGTGGGGCCGGTGGGGGTTCCTCATCCGGCACGTCCGCCACGACCCCCATCTCCTTGACGTCCGCCGCAGACCCGAAGGGTGTCCTCCATGCGAGGAGGGTTCTAGCGCTTATCTTCTGCATCGTGACGACGGTCGCCGGTATCATACCACCGTTCTGCTCCTTCCAGGTTGGAATGAGCTGGCCTTCCAGTTCGCTCCCCTGCAGGAAGGTCCGGTGCAGGAAGCCAGGGTACTGTGAGGGTAGCGGGCGTTGCGCGAGCAGACCGGCGCGAGCAGAAGCGGGTTGGCCACCGCTTCCCCGTTGATCGAGTGGTGGACCACCACGGCTTTGTTGGCCGGCGGGTTGACCACCGCGACCTCGAGAGCCGAAGGACTGGCCACCACGGCCTCGAGGTCTCAGCACTTCCCGGTCGGGTCTTCCGTCACCCTCTTGCTCACCGCGTTTTCCGCCATTCTTCTTCCCCGGAGACATCTTTCTTCTTATCGCGATTAAAGAAAAAAAAACGGCTTGAACCTCGTTACGTTTGCTAATGCGGGCGCGGTCACGGTTCGTTCGGGGTTGGGAATGCGTTTTGTTTATGAGATGTGTGAAAGAGAAGGTTTTTTGTTGGGAAGTTGATTAGGTCATTTATTCGAGTGGTGGACGACGCGTAGATGTAGATGAGTCATCTCGTCTTCTTAGCTGCTACTGTTAGAATCTTCTCAGGGCTGTCCCCTATAGTTGATAGGGCCTTCATTCTTACTCGATAGTAATATCGAGTGTTAATTTAGCCATTTAGGGATACCTTACATTTTGACAGTCTAACGGGAAATAGAGAGATAATTATTCTATACATATACCTAGGTATCTAAGGACTAAGATTCTTCAGGCGTTCTACCTGCTTTGTACATCGTATTTAGGGGCTTGTAGATAACTGCAAACAGCTGACCGAGATGGTAAACTCTACCCGTGGAGTATATGCCTATGCTGTGGAAAACCCATACTATCACATACTACCTACCTGTTCCCTAGTGGGGCGTGGTATGATATAGGATCTCGTAATGCAAGTACGGAAAAGCTATACGGTGACCTTGTATCTAAAGCTAAGGTTAGGTCCTACAGTACTGTGAGAAGCTGAGTTCCAGGGACTACTAGTATGTTAGAACACTTACTGAGTATGTACCTACCTATTCCTAACGACCTCCAGGGCTATTATGTAGTATCCATAAACCCCATTCAACGCTCTTTAGTTGAGTACTGGATATAAGTCACTGCCTTATTGTGACTACAACCAGCCATCATATCATACTTCACTTATATCACAGGGTAATTTATACCTGACTCATCTTTTGTCTCCCACCCTGTAGTTACACCCCTAATCATAAGTACCTACACATGCCAGGTATGAGCACATCGTTTGTGCAGCGATTACTACATTCTTGGCGCGTCTACTGCCTTGTGACACCCTCTCTGCTCCATAATCATTACCTCTTACGATTTACGATCTACGGTGATGATGGTCACTAGGTAAGTCGTGTGGTCGTGGCGAGACTTCCTCGATCCATTAATAACTGCACCCGACCCATGTCCTATCCGGCCCATCCCTTTCTTACCAGGGAAACTCTCCATCTTCCCCCTCTTCGTCCGTATCCTCATCCTCTTCATCGCCCCACACTTCATCGATCCACTCTTCCTCGCCCTCGGGGCTCTCGCGAGGCTCGCGGCTGTGTACGACGTCCAAACGTCTGTCGTTCAATATCACCGCCGCTCGCAGCTCGTTCAGGTGCTCGAGTGTCTTCGGCTCGCCCTGGTCCCTCCTCGCGGCCTTGGCTATGCGCGAGACCAGCGAGACGGGAAGGAAGACCCACACGCCGGCACGCTTCACGGAGTCAGCTGCCCTGGTGAGGGTTGTTAGGTCACCCACCGTGACTTCGAAGACGGGTACTTCTTCGGGCCGGAACGGGGGGCCCGCGTTCTCGCGGAAGGCCATCTCCTCAATTCGGCGGAAGAGCGTCGAGATACACGAGATGGGGATGATGCCGTCGATGGCCAAGCGACCTAGGACTTCTCGGTGGACCTGAACTACGGACTTGGAGCCGTCCTGGGCCCGCATCCCATTGAGTAGTAGGTCGAGGAACTTCTCGGTGGTGCAGTTGCGCCAGGGGATCGGGCCGCGGTAGTCCGTGCGGCACACGGCGACGTACAGCATGGCCAGAGCCAGCAGGCTCGGCTGGAGGTTGAATGCGCCATGCAGCGCGACGTTGGCGAACCGCCTACAGAAGACCTTGGACCAGTTCGGGTCTTCGATGACGCGGCCGTCCTCGGTCTCGAAGCTCCCGCCGTAGCGGAGGTGGTTCTTCGGTGAGATGATGGAGGTCGGGAAGCAGGAGAAGAAGTGTATGATCGTCTTCCACAGGGGAAGCATGTCCTTGTGCTTCTTGACGTCGAGGTTGGCGAGCTTGTCTCGGAGCGGATCCGTCTCCCACTCGGCGAGCAGCGCTCTCTCGTCGGCCGGGGTCCAGTCCGAACCTCGGTACCGGAGCCCCCTGGCGATCATTCGACATCCGTCCATGTCGGTGATCGGGCGCTGCTTCTTCAACAGGTGCACTGCTTTCGCCTCAAAGTCTCCTAGCCGGCGCACGGCTACTAACGCGACGTTTTGCATTGTCTTGGAGAGTCTCTCGAAGTGCGCCTCCAAGACTCGTCGTTTGCCTCCCTCGTTATCCTCGTCGGCGTCGCCGTTAGGGTGTTGGATCACCCTTCCGCCGTTGTCGAGGTCGGCGTCGACGCTTCGCTCGGTCTCTTCGCCTTCCGACTCCGAGTGCTCGAAGTTGGCGACTTCGTCCTCCTTCTCCAGGCATTTAAGCGCGTTTTGCCTCGCTTTCGCGACGGCATCGTTTTTTTTTACCACGGGCATCTAGTAGAATCTTGTTAGCATAGGGTGTGCGGACGGGTGCGGCGCTCGGTTTGCGTTGGCGACGTAGGGTAGGGGGATGTTCAACGCGTTAGGATGGAGCTTGCGGAGAGAAGTTTAGTGTTGTTATTAATTTTGGAGGGAAGATGGAACTGGGGTTGGGACAGGATTGAGTATTGCCAGGTGCGGCGCTTGATTCACGTCGGCAACATAATGGGGGACGCTTACTGTGGTAAGATGGAACTGGCGGGGAGAAGTTCAATGTTGTTGTTGATTTTGGAAGGAAGATAAAATTAGGGTTGGAACGGTCAAGGTCGAGTATTGTCAGGTGCGGCTCGTCACCGTCCTTCATAACGGGCGACGTACGTAGGTACCTACCTACCTAAGTAAGGTACGTAGGTACACCCTCGCCACATAGACATCACGAGCTAACTATCGGGACTGGAAGGGACCTGGTATGTATCGCAATGTCAGATCTTCTCGCGAGGGTTGATTCCGAGAGCGAACTCCTGCCTACGAGATTGGCCTTGGTGCTTCCGCGACGCGGGAAGGACAGGATAGAAGGGATTCGGACATTGTTTCTAGTGACTAGGGCTAGGAGTCTACGATGAGGCTTACGAGGACCGGAGATAGTCAGGAGAACGGTTACGCGTGTAGATAGTATGCACGAGGAAGATATACGATTGATGATTGAAACCCGAGCAAACTTCCTCATTAGTCATATGAGAACAGGGGAAAAAAAAAAAGAAAAAAAGAAACCCACCCCAGAACCACAGCGAATCCCAGAAGCAAACTCCCAATTCCCTGGAACATCTCCATTCCCCCATTACCCCAACCAACACCCAGACCCAACCCAGACCCAACTCCCACACAACTCCCACACCCAACCCACTCAAGCTCACACACCCAACACCCACGCCCAACCCCGAAGAATTACTCCGCGTCGTCGCATTCGGCCGACGAGGCATCATCGTCTGGCGGATTGACGCCGTCCGATGGCGCGTCGTAATCGGCGCCTTGCATCGGAACATCGTTGTCGTCGCTGCTCATTGGAGCAGCGGGCTCGGGCCCCTTCTCGGTGACCATGAGCCTCTCACGGTTTAGGCGGACCAAGAAGGGGGAGGAGGTCATGGAGTCCACCCCCAGCTGGGGACCGGTGAGACTGGCGATGCCAAAGTCATATTTGTCGATGACCTGCTGGGAGATGGTCCTGCTGTAGCCGCGCGTGAGCGGGTAGCCCAGCGTGACGTAGACCTCATCGCCGTTGAAGGCGAAAGCCACCCAGCTGACACTGGTCCTCAAGGGGGGGAGCCACGCTCGTCTCTGGACTAGGTACTCGAAGTACCTAGGATCGTCCGAGGCCCAATCCCCCTCCACCCAGCACTGGTCAAACGAATGGTCCCTAGTGTTGTGGACCGGACAACCGACGACAAAGCCGTCGGCATCAACTGGCCCAGGACACTGGACCACCTCGTGGCCGGCCTTGCCACAGTTTGCACATGTGATAGGCAAGGCTTGCGGGGCAGGCGGGCCTTGCGGAAAGAAGCTCAGCTCATTGGGGTCTCGCGGGCGGTATTGGGGGGGGCGGTCGAAGCGCGGGCCGCCGGGAGGAACAGGAGGCAGGACGATTCTTGGGACGGGAGGAGGTTCCGCGGAAGCAGGACCTTCACCTTCGTCCTCACCTTCGCCTTCACTCAACTCCTCGACGCGAGACTCGACGCGAGACTCGGCTTTCCGCCTCTCCCTCCTCTCGAAGCGAGTCCGGTTCTTCTTCTTCCTCCTTGCCTTGGCTGCCGGGGCGAGGCTCGGCCGGGACTGCGGCTCAGGGTCCGGTTCGCTGGCCTGGGGAAGCAGCTTGGGTCGGGAACCTATTGCCCAGCGGCGATTTTTGTAGCGGTTCACCGTACGATCTAAGGTGTGCGTGGTGATGAAAGTAGGAGGAAGACGGCCGCGATTCTGGTGTCGCCAGATGGAAAGAAATTCACCCATCGTAACACGGGACATGGGCAAGGTGGTGGTCAAGGAACCATGGCCCTGGTGGATAATTCTGAGGGATTCCCCGGAGGTCGGGTGAGAGGAGACGAGCGATTGTGTGGGGGAGGGTTGGACACCGCCTCGACCACCTCGACCACGTCGTCCACTTCGTCCGCCCCGGATGGGTGGCTCGCCTTCCTGGTCTCTAGGACCGGAGGCTGGACCAGCACCACCAACATCATCATCGTCTGGGTTGGGGAGGGAGGGCTCACCTTCCTGGTCTTGAGGACCGACGGCTAGGCTACTACCACCGACACGACCTCGGCCACCTCGGCTACCTCGTGCGCGAAGACGGCCTCCTCGTCGGCGACGACTGGGAGCGCGAAAAGCTCCGCCTCGGTTAGGGTTGATTGGTTCGCCATCCTGATCTTGAAGACCTGCGGCTGGGCCACCATCACCAACACCGCCAACACCGCCTTCGTCGTCCCGGCCGGGCTCATCGTGCCAGCGGAATGCTTCGAGACCCTGGGCTTCGGCGATCTGGTCCGGACCTCTGTCCGAAGCATCTCGACTCGGCTGGCGCGGCGCCGGTGCTCGTTCGCCCTGCTCGCTACTCCACTTCTCCATGTGTTCTTCCATCGTATGTCCTTCCGGTTCACAGTTCAGAGCGAGATATCTTACAGACTTTCATGAGTATGCGCCGTTTCGAGGCAGTGGAAGTGCACTTACATGGATATGCGTTAGAAAATGTAGGAAGGTTGCTCTGGATTGGTGATGTGCGAGCACTGTAGGTTTTAGATTTTTTATTCATTTTCACACTGCCAGACACTCCTTCCTACTAACTACTGCTTAGGTACCTAGGTAGGTGACTAATCGCGCAAGCCTTCAAGTTTAGGAAGTAGGTAGGTACCGAGGATAGTACTCATTAGGTATCTTAGGTATGTACATTATGCGCCAGACCCTCCCTCCTCTAGCACTGCTGCAACTGCCTAGGCACCTTTTTTAAATACTATTTACATCAATCCATACCTCGTTACTGTTCCTCTATAGTTACAATGACCCAGAGATGCCCAGTTGTTGTAACTTGAGCACAACTAGATGGACGGGATGTACCCTAGGTACATAGGTACCTAGGTATCTATTTCGTGATGACGTTACCGATTCACAAGTTGGTCTAATAGCAATCTATATGAATGACCTAGGAGGCTGTACGCGTGTCCCACATGCTAATGCAAGAGCTCGATAGCTACCTTCGACGGGATTAAGCTGACGTAGAAACTATAGTCTGATGATCTTATGATCCCGCCATCATTCACGGGCTCCCTACGAGCATCTCCTTCCGTGTGCCCGCCCGCTCTATTCTCTCCGACTTGCCCCCAAGACTCCCGTCACCAAGTCGCCAGCTATTACTCGTAGGTGAAGAATAGAGCAATCACCTAATACGGATAATACGTTGCGTCCTTCATATGTAGCTCCAGTTCTAGATGAATGAAGAGACCTTCGAAGAAAGGACTCATCCGACGCTCCACTATTACTAGTCCTAAGACCCTGGAGGAATACTACACAATCCATCGATTGACACTGTGAAACAATACGCTTGTGAGCTCCTAGACGAGCCACTCATTCTATTCAGCTGAGCCCTTGACATCACTGCTGACAGTTTTCGTTGCATGAAGCTTAATCCCACGGGTGGCACGGGTATGTCGGCGTAGGACTATGAAGGTTCTGGTCACGGGATATTGAATTGACAACCTGAACGGTTTGAATTAGAAGATGAGATCTGCCGACGAGATAGATGTCAATAATTTGCATCGGATACGCATGATAAGAATATGTCTGGGTATGTAACGGAAGGGCGGCTGTGACGTGAGCAAGTGGGAAGAGGTTGGAAGATACCTGTAACCAACTAGGAATTGTGAGTGCTTTGGTACAATAGAAGGGCAAATGGTCAGTACTTGCCGATCTGGTTGTAAGAAGAATTACTATGAAGCCAAATGCTTGATTTACTTGCTCTACGTTATACAGAAAATCTCGTCTACATGTGTAGAGACTAGTAGTCTTGTCCCACGACATCACACCAGCCGGCGGCAGACGATAGTACCTTGCATTTGATCATTATTGATTGCCATTTTAGGAAGTGGATATCTCAATTTAAGAAATCTAATTGGTCAACCTAGTTCTGCATGAGCTCCAATGAGTCTGCTTACGTAAATGTTCGGGAAGTGCCGAAATAAAGGGGGGTTTTGTTGGAACTGTGCCAAAAGTGATTCTTATGACGATGGGAAGCTATAGTCATCATTTTAAATTGTTATGAAAACTCATTCATTCATTCGGTATCTTGATCTAAACTAGAGCAATATTTTTAGACGGCGTTCTTCCCCACTTTCCATTCCTCACGTCCATCTCCCTCTCCATCTTCCGGCACTTACTCATAGCAGTCTCCAGTAAAGTTCACGTCGCGGTTGATGACTGTGGCGGGTCTAATACTTGAGTTAGCTCGTCAGCTTCTACGTAAAGAGTGATATGGGGATAAGTACCTCCGAGCGGGTAGTAGCTGCGCTGGGCCCTGGTGAAATGGGCGCCTTCCTCGCTTCGGAAATTGTGGAAGAGGTGGCTGGGGAGGGTGGTGATGCCTCCGACGAAGTACTTGTTGTCGTACTCCAGCGTGTTATACACCGCGAAGCAGGTCTTCGCGTTCTCAACCTTTCGGAGGCGAAGGTAATCCGTAATCTCCAACTCGAAGGCGGAGAACTCTACACGGGACGCGAGATCGAGCAGTTGCAACTCCCCGGCCGAGCCGATGGCCACGGTTTGATAAATGTAGGATCGCATGAGCCGATCCTCGACCTGGAGAATCTCCTCGTCCGTGAGCTCGGTGTCGCGGATCTCGCGCTTGGGGGTTAACCCGAAGTGTTCGTCGAAGAGCTTGACTAGTTTGTGCGCCACCTTCATCATAGCGACGTTGGTCACGATTGGTCCATCGAACAACAGCGGCTCCACTCCGAGACTGGTCAAGGATCCGCGGGTAGCTAGCTTCTGGTACACCCCGAGAGCTATCCACGCAGCTCCCTTGTGGGCAAGCCTCGCTCCGACGCCGTCGCAAACGCCGCGAATTTCGTTCGCGGACGGGCGGCGTGCGACGTTATCGTTCCTCTGGCAGACGGCGGAGGCGCCCAGGACGAGGACGGAAGCCAGCCGGACGATGACCCTCTGCGCGTTCTTGCTCATGTCCTTGCAGTCGGGTATGGATGCTAGAAGGTTGGCCTCCTCGTATCGGAGCTGCCTGATGTTCGCGGCGAGCCGCTTCAGCTCGAGCATGCGTCGGCCCAAGGCGGTGGCCTGGCCTATCACCGTCGGGCCTGCCGGCTTGGCGATGCTGCCGGTGAGAAGGAGGCGATCGAAGGCGAGCGTCATGGCGAGGACGTCAGGCGGTGTTCTCACGGGCAGCAAGCCGGACGGCCGCGACGGCCACGCGTCCGCCAGGCTCAGAGCCGTCCACATGATGTCGGCGCTGTAGGCCTCGCCAGCAGGTTCCGAATCGCTGGGACGCACCGCGGATACGTCGTACGAGGCGTGGAAAATCGTGTTTTCCACAGGCACGCTTGACTTGACGAGCCAAGACTGCTCTCGGAGCACTTCCACCCGCGTCTTAGGCCTCGTGATCCAGACGATCTGACTCGTGCCGCGATCGAAGACACGCTCTTCGACGTCGGCCTTCGAGAAGAAGTGTCCGACTCTAGGCACGGGGAGCGAGAACCCTACACTGGGAAGTATCACCAGGCCAGGTGCGTCCTTGACGCCGTCCAACATATACGATCCTCGCACAGTCTGGGGAACCAACTGGCCGTAGTCGCCAGGGGCTGCTGACTCGTCGCTGTCATCGTCATCGTCATCGTCGCTGTCATCATCATCGTCATGGTATGCTACAAAGACTCTCGTTCCCTTGTCTTCTTCGGCGAGCTTCATCAGCTTCTTGACGTCGTGCTCCATACGATCGGCGCTGACACGCGCGACCGGGACGGCGACGTCGTCGCCGGCGATGGTGATCTCGATCGGGCTGTAGCCGATGACATTCGCCATGATATCCCATGCTCTCTGGGAGCGGAAGGGGGAGATGGTCAGGACGGCGCAGGAAGATCCTTCGACGTCGCGGCAAGAACGGGCCCATTCAAGGAGATGGCCGAGAAGCACCTCTCCGTCTGTGGTGGGATTGGTCTCCAGATCCACCAGGACCACGGCTCTTCTGCCAAACGGCAGCCGACTGTTTTGTCGGAAGGAGCCCAGCACTTCGTCAAAGCTCGCCACGCAAACGCACTGGTTTTCACCAGTGTACTCAGTGCGGGAAGTGGTGGGTGCTGGTAATCCACGGATTACGTAGCCGTGGAGTCCGAGTTTCTCGTGGCCGCCCAATAGGTCGGCCATATACGTGGCTTCCAGCCGCGTCGAAAGCAGATACGTCAGCGTCGTATCCTCGATGTCCATCACACGCTTAGCGATATGCGCCACCATTCCGGTGCTTTTGCCAGAGCCGTGGGGACCGACGACACATGCTGACGAAACGCCGCGCTTCTCTACTTGGCCGATAAATCGGCTGATCTCCTTCTTCACGCTTTTCCAGGACGCCATAATCACAGAGTTGTCGAATTTTGAATATTGGAATAATGTGCGAGTGAGGAAGAGAAATTATTATGGGTAGGTATGAGTATGAGTATGAGTATGGGTAAATGAGAGTGGAATTGGCAAGCTCCCAAGGAAAAGCATGCAAGTGCTAGGTAGGGTGGGAGGGAGGTATGTAATTGATTACCTCATATACCCAGTGGTCCGTGCAATATCACCAGGGCAGTCAGGTTTTTTCTTCCTAACTTTGAAGATTGAATTCAAAGGTTGAATGAACTATAACCAATTAACTTGGATCACATGTACCTAGGTCGAAGTGTTGTATCAATAATATATAGCCATTAGTGGTGGGTAACGGATGACAGGTGTAAGAGGTTCGGCTAATCCGCTAAGATCCTCATCAATGGCGACCAATGTATGTAGGTATGACTTGGAACGATTGATCAAGCGTCAAAGTCCCTTATCTCTAATAGATCTGGATCCGGGAACATATCATGATCTATTGAAAACACGACTACCTTTGGACCAATGTTGAGTCATGGTGAGCAAGTTAGATACATGCTACGAATGCCGCAGTTGGCGGAGGTCTTTAGAAGGTAGACTGATCAGCTGGTATGTTGAACCCCGAGAGGCACCAAGGTTTTGGCCTTCCAAAGGGTATTGTTATATCCCTTTAACCGGCAGTTATCGCCTACCAGTGATTAAGAGGCAAATACAGCTTCAAATAATCTATAGGACCAAACTTAGAATGCAGTAGCCAAGAATATGAACGGTTTATGATTTTACATGTGTTACTGCCATATGCTAGCTGTATCGGTAATATTTGGCCTAGAAGTAATGCTCCTAGTCGATCAGACCATGGTTGGTTAAATGCCCAGTATTTTGTCTTCGAATCCCTGGCTCCTGACGACTTCACGTATGAACCAAGCTGATAAAGATATCCGATAAATCAAATCTAATGTACCTATATATGATTGCCAAACTGTATCTGTCAGATCTCAAACAACGATTATGATGTAGGATATATCATCAGTGTCTGGTTCTGGTTGGCCGAAATCATCGCTTTCGTTTTAACGTATTGTTGGCACAGATGACGCATGACAAATATCTACCCACCTAGGTATGTGTCAGTAATAGGTCCCTAAGTCAAGCGTAAAGTGAGTGCAGAGGAGCGGCGTAGCCGCTGCTAGTATATAGCAAGTATGAGATGAACTAATAACGCTACTTCTTCTAGGGTTGAAGGGGGCTTCGCCCCCTTCTTATACCTTGCTAACTCGCGTTTGCCTAGCAAGAGGTCCGCAGGACCCCCTTCTAGGCCTACTCCACTTATGCCCCTGACAGTATGCTTGGTCTGGTTGAGGGGGTGGGTATTTAGTTGAGTATAAGACATTAGAGATATCCGTTGATGGCTCTCGTAATCCGCCTCTTCTCTCGAATGACCACCTAGGTTCAACCAGGGAAAATGGGGTGGAATATACTTAACGCGGACTTACATCACTGATAATGGACGCATTCCATTTTGTAGATCTGAACATTTCTAGTACATCAAACGCAAGGAGATGAATGTAAACCAGCGCAGATCTTATGCCACTGGCTGGTTGATAATGGGTACGATCTACTAGCAGCATGTCTACCCTCTAATGCCTGACTGCAATCGTTTGTGAGTTAGGGGAATACTTGTTGTCTTTTGGCGGCCCGGTAGCTAACTCGACTCAACCTTACTTGAGACGTCGGTAGTTGATAGCCTAACCTAGATAGGTTGCAGGGCTACTGACTGGTGACAGTTGATGTAACCGCAAAACTAGGTAATGACAAGGATGGAAATCGAACTCTTCGCTGTTGAGGAAGGGTGCTTATAGCTTAGTACCTCCCTATTCAGTCGCATGATGAAATTCTAGACCAAGGAGTACGGCGGTATGATATGAACCAAATAAAAGGCGTTTGTTTGATGCTAGAAAGGACGAAAGTTTGTATTGGAGCTTCGAAGAACGGCTCTACGTCTAATAGCAGGCACAATTGATATAAGAGGTTCACAAATAGAAGCCCAGAGTTACCCATTCCATCAATCACTAAAAGCGAAGCAGACCGAATTCTCAACTTCTCATGATATCGTCATCTCCCCACCCTCTCGACCCTCTCTCTCCCTAGAACGCCACCGAGCAAGACGACATAAGAGCCTACACGTCGCCGGCAGGGTTGAGGGTCTGAGATATGTACACGGGGCCTCGTCCGTCTCGGCGGAAACGTCCTCGGCGAGAACGCGACCCTCGTCTAGCGGAGTATGGTGGGATGGTAGCGGGTTCTGCAGATGCGAGACCTCGGCCATCTTCCTCCTCAACACACTCTATAGTACCACCAGAGCCTTCTGCGGCTTGCTCCCCGTCGCAACGAAGCTTTAGTTACGGTGGCTTGTGCATCATTCCCATGTATTCTCGTTGTACGCCGTAAGGGTGTATGGGCTGTAGTTGAAATTCTAACGAAGAGATTCGTGCACACGCCCAGCCATTCTCAAACTTGAGATTCTAAATCTCCAGTTTATTCTCCGTGAGATCCGTGAAGTTGCGGCCAACTCTTCCCCGAGAGAAGAGACTCTGGCCTCAAATCTAGAAATTATGTCCTTATCGCGCTCCAGGGCGTTATAGTACCGGTCACGCACTAACTTCGGTTCTGTGCCCACGCGCAGAAGCGGTTTTTCGTCGAGCTGCTGGTACTCTTACGAGGCCATCTTATAGTATTATAAGATGGAGTAGCGACTAAATGGAAGAAGTCGAGAAATCCTATGGTGTATTCTTTACTACCTACCTACCTACCAGTATTATTGTAGATAAGCGGTTACTGCGTAGGTAGTTACCTGTGCAGATAAATTATGTAGGCACTATATTGTCCCAACGGAAGCAAAGACTCAGCCCTACCAGCCCTACCTACCTACCTAGGTAGTACCTAATGGTGATGTCATGGCAATCACCATAGGGCTATCCGCTGAAATCTGTCGGTACTTAGTACGTACAACGGAAGATAACCCAGGGCTCAGCCCCTGAGGGACCCACTATATTTAGCCCATTCTAGCAGACCCATGTGGCCAACCGCCAATAGTCGGGGTTGGACGATAGCGCATCGTCCATGTTGCAGGGGCATAAACAGGTACTGACACCCTAATTGATTGGCCAATCGAAAGGGATTGTTAATTCCGGCCTCCGCTGCACCTGCTATATCTAGGCCGTTCGCTTCATAAATAGCGCTTACGACATCGTGCCAACTTTCATCGAGCTGCCTCGCAGTCGCTCAGCACTGTATCCTAGAGATTTGCCAGTTGCTGCGCCGTAGGCGTTGAATATATTACGTACTCATACTATTCCGCCATTTACTACGATTCACCATCCACATCATTACTACACCACTCACCATTCACAATTGACGATTCACAATTCACAATTCACAATTCACAATTCACAATTCACTGAGCATCTACAGAACGGACGAGATGGAAGAGAGCCGCCGTTCGCCCATGTCTGCTCTTTCTAACGAGCTCTTGCTGTCCATCTTCGAGTCCGGATTGCCGCCCTCGACCTTGCTTTGCTGCATGCTCTGCTGCAGACGATGGTCGTCCCTATCTTCTTCCGTGCTATACAATCACCTTGTCCTCACCGTTGACACCCTTTCGAGCTTCGTACGTTGTTCGTCAAAGTCGAGAGACGCTCTGGTTGAGACGCTCACCCTTCGCGTAAATCCCGCGCGATCTGCGGAGACGGAAGACGCGATCCGCCAGCTGCGATCCGATCTCCGCGAGCTTGCTCCGAGGGTCGGGAACATGGTCAATTTACGAGTGTTTTCTCTTTACGCGCCATCTAAGCTGCCTTCTAGTCGCTGGGTACCCGACGCGTCGATTGCTGCCGTCCTCGACAGCCTACCTCGAAGCTGCGTGGGTCTGGAACTTAGCGCCAGATACCTGCGCCATCCCGGCAGCGTCGAGGAGGACGAAGGCGTACACCTATGCGCTTCTATCCGCAAAATACTACCTAGGCTACGGTTTTTGCGCTTGAACTTATCTAGGTTATGCCCCGAAGCCTTTGGCATCGGGTTCGACCCTGCTAAGCAACCGGACCCTCCCGAGGCTTTCGAGCCGGTCGCGGCGCCGCATCTCGAGCAGTGTCTGATCAAGATAGCCGAACCCAAGTACACTTCGGGTCTTGACCGCTCCTGGGTATGCGGTTGTCCGGAGGCTGACGTCGTCGCCGTCCTGGTCAAGCATCTGCGAATTTTTAGAGACGCGAGCGACGCTTCGAAGCTCGAGAAATTGTGGATAGTAGACGCGTCGCCTATGACAGATCCTTATGCTACATTTCACGCGTTCGTCCGTCGCGACGTGCTCGCCGAGAAGAGTCTGCTTATTCCTTACAAGAACGTCGGTCTCCACAAATTCAACAAAGAGGGTATCTTCGTTCGCATGCCTGAGGAGGAGGGCGGCCAAGATCTCGTGTCGACGATCTACGGTGCGATGAGCTTGGCGGAGCAACGTGCCTGGGTGGAAACGACGGGCGGAACTCGAGTACCCGCCGCCGAAGTTTCTCAGAAGCGTCGTCTTACCCTTGCTGAGCCCGTCATGCGGACGGCTGACGAGTGGTTCGCGAAGACGAACATCTCGTGCATATTGTGGGCGGATGAGAAGAAGACGGGAGCGCGATTATTGGACGCTACGGAAGAAGGCCTGGCTGAAAATTCTATTGCGGTCTTACGAACCCCCGACGGCTGGACTCGTCATGCGGGTGGCTTTCTACAGAAACTGGAATAAAGATGATCATTTCTATCTAGTACCGTACGTCTGTCAACCACCGAGTGCCGATATTTCATAGCAAACTACCATCTACGGCATCTAGCAGGTTCTCGCGCGGCTGCTGCGTAAGCTTTGGACTTTTCATGCGCCGCTCCTCCGTCTAGCATCTCCCGCTCGCCAGCTATTCGCCGAATTACCTACGACGCGTAGCCCGTGACGTTGCAGGTCCCGTATGAAGCTTGACTATAGAATTCGTTAGTGATGTATTACGCGCCGTGCTAGATCAAGAAAGTCTTTATTTACCATCCTAGGATGTCCTGGCAAGAGTACGAGTCGGAGCCGCAATATCCTGCTGCGGAGCAGCAACCGCCGAACGAGGATCCGGCGCAGACGAGGCCGCCGGCGAAACCGCAAGTGCCGTCTTGGCTGACCGAGCCGGGTGTCGGGGTGGACGTCGGCGCGCTCGAAGTAGTCGTCGACGTGCCGCAGGGGCCACTTTGGCAGTCGGTTCCGCAGTAGTCGGTGCCGTTTCCGCAGCTGTGGGTTTGTGAGCCTTATTCCGGCGAAGGGCGATGCTGGGAGATATCTCAGCCACTTACTATCCGTACGCGCTACAGCAGAGTCCAAATTTAGGAGGGCATTCAACCCAGTCGTTCTGACTTCCGCATAAGCCGTCCGTGCTATAGGGGATCGGCGCTCCGTCGCACTGCATAGAGGGGTTAGAATGACGTCTCTACTATTCGCGGGTCTGATCTTACCGTGCCCTCCTGACAGTTTCCCATCCCGCAGTAATCGTCGCCCGTTCCGCAGCTACGGATGAGAGTTAGTCTTCGTAACGGCTGGGTTTCCACGTCGCTTACTATCCGCCTACGCCGCAGCAGTCGCCCCATTGGCTTCCGATGCAGGTGTTGGTCCAGTTCTGCTGAGCGCCGCAGAGCCCGCTCGACGAGATCGGCACGGGACTGCCCACCGCTGGCATATGTTAGCATGTCGGACGCGGCACATCTGGGTATTCTTATCTACCGGTTGCGATGCAATACGTGGATCCGGGATCGAAGTTCGTGCAGTTTTCGCCTATGCTCGGGTTGACCGACTCGAAAGCGTCGAGCGTCAGGTTGAACTCCTGGAGAACTTGGGCGCAGCTGCTCCAGAGGTTTGTCGTGTAGTTGAGGCGGCAGGTGAAGTTGCTAGCCACGGTCTGGCGCCGGCTCAGCTGGTTGTGTCTTTCGAGCAGCCCTAAACCCAAGTCCTCCAGCAGGGTCGCCGAAGCGATCGCTGCTAGGACGGTATAGAAATATATCTGAGCTAGCATGTTGATGGTAATTGCTGGCGACGGTGCTACGATGGACTGCGTGAATGAGCGAATCTCTGGGTGAGCTTAGAGAACTGCGACAGTTCTTAGTATCGTGTTAGTACGTGAGCCCGACTCCAACTCTTGAGTCCCGGAAGGAGGGAGCAGACGAAAGCTCGACCTGTCCCCTTTTCTCATATTGAAATTTTCTGCCGTCCATCTGCCCATCTTGCTCCGTCGATTCCAGCTTCTCCGTCGCCGTCACGCGACATGCTTTCAAGCTTCTGCGCCGCACGCCTACATGAGCCTGTCAGATCTTACCAGCTCATTTCAGCGGAATAGCCCTAGGCCTTCCAATCACGTTCCGATGCTGTGATATCGGCTTTACCAATCTTGATTTCGGGCGGTGAGTCTTTCAGCCCTCGATACCACTGAGTTATTAAACGCAGGCACCTCCGGCCCTACGGCTTTACTAGGTAAGCCGTGTGCGACAAAGTACGTTATGGGACGATAGCGGGCGAGCGTTTACCCCCGATGAACCCTTGACTAGCGTAGGAACACGCCTTATGCGGTTGGTCTGCCCTCGCCGCCCTCGGAGGGCTTCTAACCGTCCTCATTTGCCCCGCATAGGGCTAGAATAGGAACAGGAATAGTCTCCATTTTGGCAGTTGTGAGTCTTTAAAAATTTTGATCATTTCGCAGGGGTAATCTCACAATAGGATCGTGAAAGTAATAGCTTATATGGGCCGTTTATAAACCTATCCGCCTACCTGGTACAAGTGCCTAGGTAGGTACCTAGGTAAACGAGGAGCTCCACGGACGATAGGTGTACGTATCCAATTGCCTACCTGGTATTCATACAATATAAATACCTACCTAGGTAAGTACAATATCTAGTTCATGTGACCCGGGAGATCTCTAGGTACTGTAGCACCGAATGATGATTATTCACGTCTCTGGGCTACAGCGCTAATACACGCAGCGGCGCCCTCGGTAACGCATGCATCGTTAATCTCTTGCATGGCTTTTAATCGCGTGGTGGGCTCTAGGATTACTTCGGCCGATTCTACCGACCCCTGTCCGCCTCCCGGCTCCCCTGATTATGGAACGGTCTAGCTAGCGGCACAACTCAGCTGATGCACCACGGAATATACGGTAGCGTTGCGCTAACCTATTCTACTGGTCTTCCGTTACGATGGAGTTAATACCCTCAAGCCTTAGCTTGAACTTCAACCTAATGACTTCTAATGGTCCTATGAAAACCTACGTTGCAGCGGCAAAGTGCCAAGGATCCGGTTAGCCTCAAAACTCTGATGTAAGCTTTTAAGCGAATAAGACTAGTAGGGGATATGCCAAGTCTACGTGAAGGCGGACTTTTGCGGCGCGGCTCTATCATTGTAGGACTTAGGGTCGTCGTCTTGCGGAACCTGGGTTGGGAGGGGATGGCGGGAGGGATGAGAGATGTTCGATATAAGGAGGCCGCTGAGGCGGTTGACCGTATGGATCGTGGAACTAGTATAGCGATCAGGAATGCCGTCGCTTAAACGAAAAACGACGATGGCTTCGTCGAACCATTGCCGTTATGCTGTTCTTATTTTCCTGTTATGTCTCTCCGACTTAGTCCGGGGACAGTCCCCTATGTTGGTGTATAACTGCGCTAAGATGCCCTCGATCTGCCGCAACGTCCATCGGCGAAATCCCCTCCAAGTTGTTCAAGGCGTTGCCGGCGCCGGCAATCTGGGTGAGCTCGACCAAGGGCAGACGCCGGGAGGGCTGCCATATATCACATTAAACTAGGTACGTAGCCCCTGAGTCTCGATTACTACTTGGCATCAGTTTATTTAGGTAGTTTTAACGACTATGTACCTGCTAAGCTTTGGGACGGACCTAAACTAACCGTACTACAGTAAGCTACTATCTCATTACCTCTAGTATGGTACCACCTAGGTAGTAGATCAAATATTTAAATCAAATATTTGTTATGAACTCTACCTCCATACAACCTTGATACCGGACAGTTGTATTCACGATCAACAGTGATACCAGTGAGGCCAACAAAAATGCCCGCAGATCAGTCTCCTGTCCTAGCAACTGGCACAGGACACATACATGTCCGGAAGCCGACCAACCGCCAACAGTATACCAGGATGTCGCTTACAGCCATGGATATGCGGGTCAGAGATGGGTTCAGGTAAGTACCTAGTTCTACACGTTTTACACGTCTATCTCGGAGAACAGTTCCAGATATATCCAAGGCTTTGACTTGGAAGCCTTGATGTTACTAGGTTACGAAGATTGACTGGCGTATGTAGGCAAATGTAAACTTTGGCGATCCGGGCTACAATGTCATCGCAAATGCGGCTAATACGGGCCCTGGGGGAATGTTTTGGTCTTGCGACGAATGGCCTCCGGCAACGTATGATCATACACTCATGTGGACGAATTTCGCTAACTCTAACTAGTACTACGCAAGGCGGTGCGGGCTCGTCTACTTATTGCGCGCCTCAGAACTATAAATGTAGTTCGGTAATGAATGCTCTCGGCGCGGGAGTGAATTCGGAGCAGGTATGTAATTGTTAGGGTTGAGCCTTTGAATCGATCGACTGACAATCTTTAGGATATTCAAGGCAACATTCACAATACTTTGAGAAATCGGTTGACTGGCACGTTTGGCTCACCAGCAGCGAATACCGTCTACCAGTTTTATTTTAAGACCATGTGGAATGTAAGATAGCATTCCCCCCTAAATAGGTTTTTCGATCAGTTATTCGGAGACTTATGGCATATTTCATCGAATCTTTCATCGAACTAACGTCTTTTGATGTGCCATCACTAACTTCCGTGAGCATAGGACGAGGACGACGGGGTATCAGCCTACGTAGAGTTTACCGACAGCAACACGGGCGGCGAATTCTTGGACCCTTCGGCATATAAGCGAGACTTGGAACCGAAGTACAAGTACTTCGACATCATCTTCAATAACGGGACCATGTCATCCTACATGCGGCCGATGACGGAAACAGAGGTATTACAAACGCGTGGCCAAGCACTGTCGTACTATTCGTTCAATGAGACTAATGTCACCTAGATCGACGAGCAATATGATCATATTATGAGGCAGATCGCTGCTAGAAACGCCTCTAACCTCGTAGCGACCAACTTGTCGACGGTTCCCCCGGTCCAACAACGCTTCGAGCTGCTCTCTAAAGCCCCCCCGCTCCCGATAATGTCCATCACTCGTACTTTCATCGACAGACTTGCTAAAATCCAGGTAAGGCCGTACCTTAACCAGGTCCTTACTCTTTTCTCGGATGCGCTTGTTCCGACGACGACGACTTCCGCCCACCCGGAAACAGCCACGGCTTCGAACGGAAGCTCTATTCGCCGTGACTTTACTCCGATCAGCAATGTATTTAGTCGACAGAGTGACGTCGAGTGCAGTGCTGATAGTCCTTGCCCCGACGGTTCTTGCTGCAATAATAGCGGCGGTTGCGGCTACGGGCCGGAGAACTGCGGTGCTGGGAACTGTACGAACACATGTAAGTCTATTTATTATCGTGCTCTTTACTATATCTGTAGTGTGTTCTGGGCTCTATTCTGGGCTCTACTTTGGGCTCTATTCTAGGCTCTATTCTAGGCTCTATTACATGTCCCATAGTCTCTAGTCTATAGCGCCTCAAACACTTCACTTAACCGCTAATAACCATACAGGTAACGCTACGGCACTTTGTGGCCGCGACAGTCTAGGTGGGGACGTATCGTGCCCCCTGAACGTTTGTTGCAGCTACTACGGCTACTGCGGCGTAGGCACGGAATATTGCGACTCGCCCAATCCCGACGCCCCTTGCCAGGAAGGATTCGGTTCTTGCTCTGTCGTAGCTGCGCCGACGTGCGGTGGAAGTTCGGCTCTTGCGAGGTCGATCGGCTATTATCAGGTCTCCAACTCGTACTCGCGTCAGTGCCAGCGTATCACGCCTTCCCAAATCGACACGACCGGCCTCACGCATCTGAATCTGGCTTTTGCGAGTATCGACCCGAGCTCGTTCGAGGTCGTCCCGGTCGATAGTCGGGACGTACCTCTCTACACAGAGTTCACGGCCTTGAAGACGTCGACGCTCCAGACTTGGATCTCTATAGGGGGTTGGGACTTCAACGACCCGGGGCCGACGCAGACGACGTGGTCGGATCTCGCCGCCTCGGAGAGCACCCGCGCCACGTTCATATCGTCCCTCAAAGACTTCATGGACAAGTACGGATTCCAGGGAGTCGATATCGATTGGGAGTATCCCGGCGCCCCCGACAGGAACGGGAACGCCGACGACACTCAAAACTTCGTGTCGCTGCTTCAGGAGATGCGCTCGGCTTACGGGACCTCGTACGGCATAAGCGCTACCCTCCCGTCGAGCTATTGGTATCTGCGGTGGTTTGACCCGAAAGCGATGGAGCCCTACGTTGATTTCTTCGGCTTGATGACGTACGACCTCCACGGTCCTTGGGATGCCGACGTCAAGGACATCGGCAAGACGATAATCGGCCAGACCAACATCCCCGAGATCTACAATTGGACACTGCCCCTCTGGTATGATTCGGTAGACCCGTCGAAGATTAATATGGGTCTCGCCTACTACGGCCGGGGATACACGGTAGCGAACGTCGACTGCGTGGAGGTCGGATGCAAGTGGAGCGGCACGAGCCGAGCTGCTCCATGCACTGCGTTCGGCGGCGTCATGTCTCTAGAGGAGATCGAGTCTATAATGATTCCCGAGCTCGGTGTCGAGCCGATCCTCGACTCCGACGCCATGATGAAATACCTCGTCTGGAGCGATCAGTGGGTAGGCTACGACGACGCCGAGACTATCGCTTTGAAGAAAAGCTGGGCTAGCAGCCACTGCTTCGGCGGTACGATGATATGGAGCATCGACCTCTATTCCGGTTCTGGGAGCGGGAACACCCCCGACGGCGGCGGCGATTCTACGAGCGGCGATCCCGGAGCCGGGGGCGGTAACAGTGGGTCTTCGGAAGGTAGCGGCGGCGATTCGATCGTCTATATTGATCCGTCGATCTGGGGAGAGCCTAACCCCGTGATCAACTGCGAGCCTCCCTGCACCTTTATCCTGCCCCCTCTGCAACTTTCGTCGGCGACGACAATTACCTTCCCGCCGTACGTGACATCTCTCGACGTTGCTTGGAGCACCTCGACAGGCTGGACGCATATCATTCAAACGACGACCCTGACCATTCCGCCGGTCACTATCACCGAAATTCCTGTCTGGGAGTACACCGTCACCGACACTGTTACGGAAACTACCGTCTCTAAGACGTTCTACGTGACTAGTAGCATCTTGCCCCCGCCTTTCACGATCACCAACGACCCAAACCCCCTAAGCGAGCCAGGCGTCACTCACCCTCCGGTAACGAGAACTATCACGCCCCCGCCGTTCCCCTACTCTTTCACCCAACCGTCGAGTCAGACAACGACGTCTTCTTCGAGCACGGGTGTCGTCGCCGCGATATTTCCGATCGTGACGTACAAACCGGGAACGCCGGGCCCGATCTGCAAGTCCGGCTGCGGACTTCCGTGCTTGATCTTCTGCTCGTCGCCGTGTCTCCTCAACTGCGTCGACGGCGGAGGCGACTTCGTAGACCCGGAGGACCCAGATCCACCGGAGCGTCCGACCCCGACGGAGGTAAACGACCCGCTACCCACGGACGCTACGAAGGTGTCGCCGACGCCTGAACCTACCGACTCCGGGGGCGACGATCCGGAGGACCCCGAAGAGGAAGATGACGATGACGAGTGCGCGTACGAATTTAGCTTGGCGGCGCCGACTTACGTCGATCCCAACTTTGGCTCCTCCGGCACGCAGACCGTCTCTTCGGCCCAGCCGCCTGCTACGCCGGCACCGAAGCCGAATCCTACGCCGCCGTCGCCCAACCCGGCCACGGAGAGCCTACATTGCTTTAACAGCGGTGCGATGACGGGCCGTGGTAGCATGATAGACGCCGTGACGACGTTTTGTAATGATTACCTGGGCACCATCCTCGACGCGAGCGACGAGAACGCCGAGCATACGCTAAGTTTAGAGGACCACAATGCCGGCACGTGCTTTGGCGAGCTGGGCTGTATAGAGGTGTTGCACCTTAGTGTCACCGTGACGAACGGGTGCCGGTTCACGATCGATGGACCGAGCCCGGATCAAGAGTGTGGTAGGATATTTAGGGAAGCGATTGACAAATGCGATACTAGCAGTACTAGGTACAAGCAAGGTGGCACCATCACGAGCAATTGTGCCGTATGGGATATCGATCCGAATAATTGGTGGGGATAATTTGTGTGAAATCTGAGACATGTTAATTAAGATGTCATAGGACTTTCCTTCCTTACCCTAAAGAAAGAAGGATCTATTAATTGCAATAAAGAAGGGAGGATAAATAATTAATTAAAAGGGATAAAATAAAACTTTTTAATATTAAGATAATAAAAGAAAGATAATTTATTTTACTTTATAAAAATTTATTATTATAATTATTTATTTTTATTATTATTAATTATTTATTATTTATTATTACATTTATTTATAATTAAGATATAATATAATAATATTTTCCCGTTTAATAAAAATAATTTAAAATATTATTAACTATTTTTACTTATTTATTTATAAGAAAAGGTAAAAAAAACATTAAGTTATATAATATAAAAAAATAATTTATTAAAATAAATTTTTTAAAACATTTTATTAAGAATATTATTAATTTAGGATTTAAATTATAATTATTAAATAAATTAATTTTATAAAATAAAGATTTTTTATTAATTTAAATAACCCGTTTAGATAATGTATTTATTTTTAGTAATATTATATATTAAAAAGTTATAATATTTTTTAAGTTAAAAATTTAGGATAAATTATATTAGGAATATATAAATTAATTTTTCCCTTATTATTTTAGGGAAGGAAGTATAAACTTTTATAATTTTTAAGAAAAATACCTTTTAACTTTAATATTTAAACCTTTAACATTTTTTTATAATCTTTAAAATTTTATTATTTTTTTATTTTTACTACCTAATAAATATAATTTTAGTTAAATAAATTAATTATATTATATTTTTTTATTAATAAAATTATATATTTAATTATTAAAAGATTATTATTTTTTTTTTATAAATAAATTAAATAATTATTATAATATTTTTATTTTATTTTAAGATGTATTTTTTATAATAATAAATAATAATGTTTTATATTATTTACCGGTTTTTTTAAATTTTATTTATAATATATAAAACGGTTTATATTATTTATAAATGGATTTAATAATGTTAATTTATATAAGAAATATAAAAATAATATTATTTTTATTAATTTTATTATTAATTTTAATTTAAAATGTTAATTTAAAGTTTATTTAATTTTAATTATTTTTATTAATATTTTTATTAATGGAATTATTATTTTTATTTAATCTTTTATTATTATTAAAATTAATATTATTTTATTTAATATTTATTATAAAATTAATTAATGTTATGGCTGGATTATTTTAATTAAAAAGTGTATATTTATTTAAAGGTTTTATAAATATAGTTTATTTTATAAAGTTAATTATATTAATTTAAATAATTTATAAAAAGTTTATAATTAAATAATTAATAATATTAAAAGTTATTATTAATAATGTTTAAAATTAATAAAGTAAAGTTTTAAAAACTTTATATTTATTTAATAAAAACTATATTAATTAATTAATTATAAAAGTTAATAAAGAAATAAATAAAGAAATGGGTTTTTTTATTATTATTATTTGTTTTTGGAATGTTATAAAGAATTAAAACGTTAAATTATTACCCGAAGCGGTATAATAATAAATTAAATAAATATAGGAATTAAAAAATAAATTAATTTTAAATGAATAAGGTTTTTACTTTAAAATATTTATTGTTTATACTTTATACTTAATTTTAATATTTTTATTTTAATTAATTTTAAGTTAATATATTATAACTCCCATATTAATAATATTTATAATTTATTTATTAACTTTTTTTTAAATTTAAAACATAATATTAAATAAAATATGAAATTATAAAATAATATTAAACTTAACTTATATATAAGCTTTATATTTAATAACTTATATATTAAAAAATTATTATAAATTAATAATAATTTTATATTTATTTAAAATAATATTATATTAATTATTAAGTAATTATTATTTATTAATTTTTAATTATTATTTATTAATTTTTAACTATTATTTATTAATTTTTAATTATTATTTATTAACTTTTAGCTATTATTTATTAACTTTTAGCTATTATTCATTAATTTTTAATTATTATTTTTTAATATATGCCTTTTTAGGTATAATTAATTATTATTATTTATTATATAAATAATATTTATTTTTTATTTTATTTATTTAAAATAAATATTTAATATATAATAAAGTATTATTAAGATTATAATTATAATTATTTATTAATATAAGCGGTAGTAAAATAAATAAAAATTAATTTAAACTTAAATTATTTATATATAATAGTAAAAAGATTTTTATTATAAAATATATAGTTATAATTAATTATTTAATTTATTATAAAAGGGTAAATATTATTTTAAATGTTTTAAAATAAAATATTTTAATAAGAAAAATAAATAAGATAAGTTTTTTTAATTTATTATTTATTAATTTATAAGATTATATAATTATTAATTTTAAATTATAAAAGGATACTTTTTTTAAAAAATTTTAAAAAAATAAAAATAAAATATTATATAAAATTAATAAATTAAAATATTTATTTAATAATAAAAATATTTTATTTTTATATAATTATATTAATTAAAAGATTCAATTTTATAATAAAGTTAATAATAATAATAAAAATAATTAAATTTATTAAATAAAGTTTTATTTAAATTTATAATTAACTTAATATATTATATTTAAATTTAAAAAAAATATAATTTAAAATTTAAAATCTTAACTTATATAATTGAAATATACGGTATATGTTAAATATTAATAAAGTAAAATAATAAAAAATAATGAAGTGGTTTATATTATTTGCTTTAAAAAAGAATTAACTAAAATTAAAAATATTAAAAGTAAACGTGATAAATTTAATGTTTTAATAAATATTATATATTAAATACGTAATAATATAAAAAGTAAATTATAGAATTAAAACGTTAATAACTTAATAAAAGATAAAAATAAGGACTCGGATAAGAAATAATAAAATATTATAAATAAACCGGTTAATAAGGATAAAAATATTAAATTAAAAAAATTATAATAAAAAAAATTTTTTTATTAAAAATGTTATAATTTAATGTATAAAAAAAATTATTATAATAAAAAAAAAAAAGTTAAAACCTTTTTTATTAATAACACATTAATTATTTTAAACTTAAATATAAGGTTAAAAATAATGATATTTTAAGAAGATTTAAACTATATGGCATAAGATTTTACGTCCGATATAAACTCGGAAAATTAAAAATTAATAACCCGGGAAAAACCTTTAAATTATTAAGCTATAATTTAAAGCGGGGTTTTATATAAGAATTACCGGAGGAAATATTTATTATACCATTACTAAATAAATATAAAATTATTATAAAAAAATATAAAAGATTATAATAAAAAAATAAATAATTAAATAACTTATTACTAAAAGCGGAACTTAATTAAATTATTTATAAAAATAATAAAATAATTTTAAAAGGTTTAAATTTTTTAAGTAATAACGTTTAAAAACGGTAAAAAAATGTTATATATTTCTTTTTAATAAATAATAATTTATATTATTTTAAGTTTTTTAAATAATTTTAAATTATTATATTTATAAAAATAAGTTTTATAAATTTATTTATAAATATATATTTTTTATTAAAAATAATATTAAAAAACGTTTTAAATAAATATTATTTATTTATAGTAATGGAAAAATTTATTAACTTTTTTAATTTATTTAAGGTTAATGTTAAATTGGAGGTAATTAAAATTATTATTATTTTTATATAATATAAAATAAATAATAATAAGATTTAATAGGAAAATATTAAAATATATATTATCGATTTTTTATTTTATAAATTTCTTTTAAAAATATTTTTTTTAAAATTAAATTAATTATATATTTTTTAGGGTAAACGAAATAAAAATAATAAACTACGGATTAAAAATGGTAAAAATTTTATATTTATTACAAGTATAATTAAAAAAGTTGGTTCGGAAATACGTTATTATTTAAGTAATAATAAATATAATTATTTAACCAGGTTTTAATGTAAATATTAAAGTAAATTTCTTAAATATTCCAGTTTTTAAAAACGAATATTATATATATTTATAAATGTTTATTTTATTAAATGGCTTTATAATGGGAAGTTTTATTAATATAATAATAATAAGATAGGAACGTGTTTTTTTTTTTTTAAATTTAAGATTAAATTTTATTCGAATTAAATAAAGTTAATGTTTTAGAACATTTAAAAAAATATATATATAAATAATTATAAAAACCTTTATAATAACGGTTAAAGTATAATTAAATATAATATAAATAATTTCCTTTATAAAATTATTAAAATATAAGGATGTATTTAAAAAACTTAAAAACAAATAATACCTTAATAATTATTTTTATTATATATTAATATTAAAAAATATTAATTTAACGGATATAAATATTTCGAAAAATTAAAATAAATTAATATGCGAAAAAATTAAAAATATTATTATTAAATATATATACTTTTTCCACTTAAAACTTAAAAAATTTAATAATGGTATTAAAATATTAATATCCTTCCGAAAAAAAACCAATTTAATAAATTTTAAACAAAAGTTATATTATATATCTTAAAAAAATAAAACAATAATAAATAATATTTTAAATTTATTAAAAGAAATAAAAATAATAAAAAATATATTATTAATAACTAGTTTTCTAATATCTAATTTAACTTTCATTATTTAAAAAAATAAAAAACTAAAAATTATTATTAATTTATAATAAATTAATATAAAATTAATTTTTAATACTTACCTTTTATTAAAGCAGGATAATATTTTAAATTTAATATATAATTACATTATTTTTATAATAATAAATATAATAAAAAATTTTTTTTAATAAAATATAAAATAAGATAATAAATAAAAGATAACGTTTATTACATTATATAAAAGCTATAAATAATTAATAATAAACATAATAAGTTTAATAATTTTATCCGGTTTTTTTTAATATTAAATGGAAAAATTTTTAAAGTAATATTTATAATAATTTATACTTGTTTATATTAATAATATTATTATTTTTAATCGATTTATTAAAAAATATATAAAGTATTTAAACCTGGTATTAATAATTTTAAAAAAATTAAAAGTTTTAATATTATTAAAAAAATGTTATTTTATATAATTAAAATTAAAAACATTAAATTATTAAGTATCCTAAC